ATATAATAAGATCCTAGCATTTTTTTTGCCTTTTGGCAAAAAAAAGGATAAATTACAAAAGATCTTTCGTTCGTTCCTTTAAAGAAGTCAATAAAACCTAATCATATTTGGTATTTAAAAAATCTGATTGATTGTAATGGGTTTAAAGTTTAAAAATTGCAATGTAAACAACATTATGTTACAGATGTTAAGTCTTAGATGCATTATACAATTAGATCTTCCAAGTTTTTGTTCCCTAAACTTTAACTCAGAACATTTAATTTTGGAGTCTTTTGCTTCTAACAAACATATTTTTCAAACAGAGCAGAACGTTTTTAAACAATGTCCTGAAAAGTTTCAAGTAAGTTTACAATTAAAAATTTCAATTATTATAAAGATTTACTACAGTTTAATGTTGCTAATCATTGTCTAATGATGACAATGGTTATGCCTCGTTTGTGTTAACCATAAACTAGTCGTTCTTTCCATGTTTTAGACTACAACAGAATGTTACAAGACACCAGATTTTAACCCTTGATATGCAACACGATGGGTGCTATTAGTGGAGTCAGTCTCATCTTATTTTTATCTTTCAGCATGGTTTTGCGTCTATTTTCAGTATGTTTTTAAACCTGCTTGGCATCTTCTTTTAAGATTGCTTGGCATCTTCTTTTAAGAAACAGAAAATGCCCTTTCGCCCCTTGTCAGACTATAACTAATGCACCCAAAGGTATTGGATGTTGCCGCTCTCTATTTCTGGAATAGGTTCTATAACATAATGTTTAAATGTAAGTACGGATCTTTAAAATAGTTATGTGCTTCTGTTGTTATTCAATTAGATTTTTTTTTTAAAGAAATAAAATTAGTATTGATCAGGCATTTATACTCCTCATATATATAGTAACCTTCTAAATATCATCACTTGCAGGGAAACTATGAAGAACATTTTTGAACAATTTGATGTCTTAATAGACAAAATGTGAATATTCATATTGAATATAAATATTTAGTGCATTTTCAGCCTTATTTTTTTTCATATATATATATATATAATATATATTGTATGGTTCATCTGTTAAATCTACCTGCAGTAAAATATTTAGAACACCAGACCCTCAATAAAACTCCTGATCCATATAAGACTTTGTTACAACCTCTCTCCTTAAACATTAAACTATATATCCATAATAAAACGTGATGAGGTAAAAAGAACTTCTTACAACCTGAAGCAGATAAATCATGAAAATATTTGGATAATAAAATGTAATAGTGTTGGCAAATAAACAACATTGTACTCAAGTAACAACTAGAGGCTCTCGAGAGCCTGTGTCGCTCACCTGACTCTACTTTGGTTTTAGAAATCATGTAAAGATAGATAAAAATCATAACAGATACCCAAATAATGATTGAGGCCAAATTTTGATTAATATTGGTCCCGTTATTTAATAAAATATCCTGGTGGCCATCTTGAACAGTAAATCGGCAACAAAGTAGCAACACTTGGTCAGCACTTCATAAGGAACATTCATGCCATGTTTGGTTTCATTCCATTCAGTGGTACTCTAAAAGAAGACATTTGTATGTATTTCCCATAGGGTCCTATGTTAAACTAAGCCCCCTGCTGGCGGCCATCTTGGATGATGGATCGGCTACAAAGTAACAACACTTGGTCAGCATCTCATAAGGAAGATTCATGCCATGTTTGGTTTCATTCCATTCAGTGGTTCTCTAAAAGAAGACATTTGTATGTATTTCCCATAGGTCCTTTGTTAAACTAAGTCCCCTGCTGTCGGCCATCTTGGATGATGGACCGACTGCAAAGTAACAACACTTGGTCAGCACCTCATAAGGAACATTCATGCCATGTTTGGTTTCATTCCATTCAGTGGTTCTCTAAAAGAAGACATTTGTATGTATTTCCCATAGGGTCCTATGTTAAACTAAGTCCCCCGCTGGCAGCCATCTTGGATGATGGATCGGCTACAAAGTAACAACACTTGGTCAGAACCTCATAAGGAACATTCATGCCATGTTTGGTTTCATTCCATTCAGTGGTTCTCTAAAAGAAGACATTTGTATGTATTTCCCATAGGGTCCTACGTTAAACTAAGTCCCCCGCTGGCGGCCATCTTGGATGATGGACCGCCTGCAAAGTAACAACACTTGGTCAGCATCTCATAAGGAACATTCATGCCATGTTTGGTTCCATTCCATTCAGTGGTTCTCTAAAAGAAGACATTTTTATGTATTTCCCATAGGGTCCTATGTTAAACTAAGTCCCCCGCTGGCGGCCATCTTGGATGATGGATCGGCTACAAAGTAACAACACTTGGTCAGCACCTCATAAGGAACATTCATGCCATGTTTGGTTTCATTCCATTCAGTGGTTCTCTAAAAGAAGACATTTGTATGTATTTCCCATAGGGTCCTATGTTAAACTAAGTCCCCAGCTGGCGGCCATCTTGGATGATGGATCGGCTACAAAGTAACAACACTTGGTGAGCACCTCATAAGGAACATTCATGCCATGTTTGGTTCCATTCCATTCAGTGGTTCTCTAAAAGAAGACATTTTTATGTATTTCCCATAGGGTCCTATGTTAAACTAAGTCCCCCGCTGGCGGCCATCTTGGATGATGGATCGGCTACAAAGTAACAACACTTGGTCAGCACCTCATAAGGAACATTCATGCCATGTTTGGTTTCATTCCATTCAGTGGTTCTCTAAAAGAAGTCATTTGTATGCATTTCCCATAGGGTCCTATGTTAAACTAAGTCCCCAGCTGGTGGCCATCTTGGATGATGGATCGGCTACAAAGTAACAACACTTGGTGAGCACCTCATAAGGAACATTCATGCCATGTTTGGTTTCATTCCATTCAGTGGTTCTCTAAAAGAAGACATTTGTATGTATTTCCCATAGGTCCTTTGTTAAACTAAGTCCCCTGCTGTCGGCCATCTTGGATGATGGACCGACTGCAAAGTAACAACACTTGGTCAGCATCTCATAAGAAACATTCATGCCATGTTTGGTTCCATTCCATTCAGTGGTTCTCTAAAAGAAGACATTTGTATGTATTTCCCATAGGGTCCTATGTTAAACTAAGTCCCCCGCTGGCGGCCATCTTGGATGATGGATCGGCTACAAAGTAACAACACTTGGTCAGCACCTCATAAGGAACATTCATGCCATGTTTGGTTCCATTCCATTCAGTGGTTCTCTAAAAGAAGACATTTTTATGTATTTCCCATAGGGTCCTATGTTAAACTAAGTCCCCCGCTGGCGGCCATCTTGGATGATGGATCGGCTACAAAGTAACAACACTTGGTCAGCACCTCATAAGGAACATTCATGCCATGTTTGGTTTCATTCCATTCAGTGGTTCTCTAAAAGAAGACATTTGTATGTATTTCCCATAGGGTCCTATGTTAAACTAAGTCCCCCGCTGGCAGCCATCTTGGATGATGGATCGGCTACAAAGTAACAACACTTGGTCAGAACCTCATAAGGAACATTCATGCCATGTTTGGTTTCATTCCATTCAGTGGTTCTCTAAAAGAAGACATTTGTATGTATTTCCCATAGGGTCCTACGTTAAACTAAGTCCCCCGCTGGCGGCCATCTTGGATGATGGACCGCCTGCAAAGTAACAACACTTGGTCAGCATCTCATAAGGAACATTCATGCCATGTTTGGTTCCATTCCATTCAGTGGTTCTCTAAAAGAAGACATTTTTATGTATTTCCCATAGGGTCCTATGTTAAACTAAGTCCCCCGCTGGCGGCCATCTTGGATGATGGATCGGCTACAAAGTAACAACACTTGGTCAGCACCTCATAAGGAACATTCATGCCATGTTTGGTTTCATTCCATTCAGTGGTTCTCTAAAAGAAGACATTTGTATGTATTTCCCATAGGGTCCTATGTTAAACTAAGTCCCCAGCTGGCGGCCATCTTGGATGATGGATCGGCTACAAAGTAACAACACTTGGTGAGCACCTCATAAGGAACATTCATGCCATGTTTGGTTCCATTCCATTCAGTGGTTCTCTAAAAGAAGACATTTTTATGTATTTCCCATAGGGTCCTATGTTAAACTAAGTCCCCCGCTGGCGGCCATCTTGGATGATGGATCGGCTACAAAGTAACAACACTTGGTCAGCACCTCATAAGGAACATTCATGCCATGTTTGGTTTCATTCCATTCAGTGGTTCTCTAAAAGAAGTCATTTGTATGCATTTCCCATAGGGTCCTATGTTAAACTAAGTCCCCAGCTGGTGGCCATCTTGGATGATGGATCGGCTACAAAGTAACAACACTTGGTGAGCACCTCATAAGGAACATTCATGCCATGTTTGGTTTCATTCCATTCAGTGGTTCTCTAAAAGAAGACATTTGTATGTATTTCCCATAGGTCCTTTGTTAAACTAAGTCCCCTGCTGTCGGCCATCTTGGATGATGGACCGACTGCAAAGTAACAACACTTGGTCAGCATCTCATAAGAAACATTCATGCCATGTTTGGTTCCATTCCATTCAGTGGTTCTCTAAAAGAAGACATTTGTATGTATTTCCCATAGGGTCCTATGTTAAACTAAGTCCCCCGCTGGCGGCCATCTTGGATGATGGATCGGCTACAAAGTAACAACACTTGGTCAGCACCTCATAAGGAACATTCATGCCATGTTTGGTTTCATTCCATTCAGTGGTTCTCTAAAAGAAGTCATTTGTATGCATTTCCCATAGGGTCCTATGTTAAACTAAGTCCCCCGCTGGCGGCCATCTTGGATGATGGATCGGCTACAAAGTAACAACACTTGGTCAGCACCTCATAAGGAACATTCATGCCATGTTTGGTTTCATTCCATTCAGTGGTTCTCTAGAAGAAGTTCAAAATGTAAAAAGTTAACGCCGACGACGGACGACGACGGACGACGCCGGACGACGCCGGACGACGCCGGACGACGGACGACGGACGCCAAGTGATGAGAAAAGCTCACTTGGCCCTTCGGGCCAGGTGAGCTAAAAAACGAAATCCTAATAGGTCTGTTTGGTGTTTACAAAATGTTAAAAGTAATCCAAGTTTACTTGCAATAATTTCAAAGCTATTGAGTACAAAGTAAAGACATCAAAACTATAACCTTGATAAGGATTTTAGGTAGATTGAGAAGTTGAAACGAAATGTTTCTTGAGTTTAAAAATGTCTTTGATGAGTTTTGTCTATAACAATGTTAATTTTTATCAGACTGCATTTCTTGATTTTTTATTCCCTTCGAGTTTAAATGTTTCATTGCTAATAAAAATAATAAAAAAGTGTTCACCTTCAATTGAAGTGTTTCTTTGAAAATGCAAAAAAAAACATATTCAATTATAAAATAACAGTACATGATACTTGGTCACATAATTTATAACTTTAATAATGTCCCTAAAATATTTGTTCTTTCAAATGATAACCTATCATAGCATATAAATACAAAGTTAATAGAAATATTCTTAAAATCTACTTAACATGAATAAGATAGATGAAATATATATTTGTAAAAAGCCCTAGGTAAAACTATTATCATGAACAATGTTTCTTGATTGATGACTGACTAGACACCTTCACCATTTCTGAAAAAGAATAAGTATGGATCATTTATACAGAAATATACAAAAAGATCAATACACAGGGAGATGTGAGCCATTGATCTGTGCTGAAGGCTCACTGTGACTTTGAGATGAACAACATTTACAACAAATTATCTTCCTTTGCTTTGGTCTGTCTAGTGCTTGTTGGGATTTTGTGTCAAGAATTTAAACACAAAAAAATTACACAATGTCTCTTTTATCCATTTCAAAGGAACAACACATTTTTATTCCTTCAAAAAGTATCATTCCTATCTATTTTTTTCTGGATCTGATATCTGATAGTTTAATGTTTATAATAAGGTGAACAGACAAGAAGCCAATTAGTCTGTATACAGTTACAAATGTACCATCACTTTGATAAAAACACATTTGCCTAATACATGAAGAAATATAACTATTCAATTCCTTTTGTTAGCGAGTATAGATTTATTAATAAACTGCTTCGCTGAGCGCAGCTGGATACGCCCGCAGAGGTCCAACCCTAAACAGTTGGGGCAAAAATGGACACAATATTCAAGCTTGATACAGGTCTGAATTTGGATTGTAATTAAATATTTGATATATTATAGGTTTCTGAATAAATGTAGTCAAAGAACTTGAAATTGGTTATATGAAAGATTTCTTGCTGTTGTGCAATACACTGTGCTGTTGCGCAATACTTAGTAAATCTGTTGTCAGACTATAAACAAATAAAATCTTATAACTTGGAAACGCAAAATCAAAAATTTATAAAAATCAAAAGGGAGCTTACAAAAATAGATATAAACAATTTATAAAAGTTTCATAAAAAAAAATGCTGAAAGCATTTTTGAGTTATTGTCTGAAAATTGGAAAATCCCCCTTTTTGTAATGAATAAAACCCCATAAATCGGAAACGTATTATCTGAAATTCATAAAGATCAAAAGGGAGCTCATGTCGATAGAAATAAACAATTCACCAAAGTTTCTTGCAAATTGGTGAAATTGTTTTTGAGTTATTGTCTGAAAACTGGAAAATCCCCCCTTTTTTAATGAATAAAACCCCAAAACTCAAAAACAGTAAATCAGAAATTTATAAAAAACGAAAGGGAGCTCACGTCAATAGATATGAACAATTCATAAAAGTTTCATGCAAATTGGTGATATATTTTTTGAGTTATTGTCTGAAAACTGGAAAATCACCCCTTTTTTAATGAATAAAACCCCAAAACTCGAAAACGGTAAATCCGAAATTTATAAAAAACGAAAGGGAGCTCAGGTCAATAGATATGAACAATTCACCAAAGTTTCATGCATATTGGTTAAAGTGTTTTTGAATTAATGTCCGACATGTTGACGACGGACGGACGGACAGACGGACGGACAATGGTATACCATAATACGTCCCGTAAACGGGCGTATAAAAATACTAGAATTACAAAGAGTTGCTTATTTAACAGGAGTCTTGATTACATGATTAGTAATTTAGTGAACTTCTAAACTAACAAATGTATTAGCAAAATGAATAGAAATTTATAAAATTTACCATTTGTTGAATACATTAACTAGTAAGTAGTTGGATGTTGGAAAGCTTGTCCATGTAATACATAAGCATGTGTGTTATACAAAGATATAATACAGACGTCAGTGTGCCAAAAAAGGACTAAAAATAAGGACAGCAGATTTCATTCAAATTCAGATTTGTCAGGGGAGTTTGCAAGATTAGTTTACTATAATAACATAATTTATAAATTTGATATTTAAAATGAGAATGTATCAGCTAAATTATACAAGTACCGAAACACTACTTTGGAGTACTATATAAAGCACCATAAAATTGAATTAGAAGAAGTAGACTTTCACCTACCGGTTGAATCTTGTCTTTTGTTTGAAATTTTAAAAAAAAAATGCTGTTTTAAAGTGATCCCTATCCAAAGTAATTCTTTACATCATAAACCTACCATAATTTACTGGCCAAATTTCCAGCAAATATTTAAGCACCTCGATGTGTTTTTTGAAATCTAATGATGTACCACCTGATGACACTGGTGATGGACAAAGAAGCACCGGACCAAAACATATTGCCAAATTGACAATGTTCATTTTATTTTTGTCTGCATTACTGGCAACCTTCTTTAAATGATTAAGCACCGCAGCCATTGTCTCCTGAAATAGAATAAAAAAAACTTAAAGGGAGACAAAAAATAAAAATTTCAATTTCGATGTTACTCTCTACTCTTAAAATTTAAGCTAAAATAAGCTGTTGAGAGGTCTTGACTGTAAAAAAAATAAATATTTTGCAACATTTACTCCCCTTGGTATAGATTTCAGAATATGAGAGAACATAAGATTCACCTGAGGTTCAAATCATGAATCATGGCAATAAATTGATTGACAGATTGATTGGTATTTAACACCACTTTCAGCACTATTTGGTGGCAGTTAGTTTTTATTGGTGGAGGAAGCTGGTGTGCCCAGAGTGAATCATGGCTATAAAAGACTACAAATTATCAGGCATTCCGGTATTTTAAAATCAACAAAGTGTAGAAAGAAAGAATTTAAGTGGTATTGGTGTTGTCTGTACAGACTACTTCAGCCTACCCTGAAGTACTAGTGTTGGGTTTATGACTTGTTCCAGTCATCTGCCAAAAAAATACAAGGTGAACTAGATTAACCATTACTAATATATTACACAAGTTGTTGGGTTTTTACTTCAGTTTAGTAGTTTAACCGTGGCACTCTAATTTCCTCAGACTTAAAAAGAAACTGAAATAGTGTTGAAAGCTGTGTTGCACCTAACATTTGTAAGGGGTTCCGCGGAACCCTGTGTCTCGCCTACGATGGCTGCTGTCAGTGTAAAAGTGTAATGTTGATTTAAAAAGTGAGTCCATTTATCAGTAAAATACAGAATGTTAAAAAAGATTCAAAACTTTCTCTTTAGATGCTATTTCTTTGTCTTAAAGATTAGCTTCTGTCCAAGTTTCATAACAATCCATGAAGGTAAACAAACTTATCATGTCAAAAAAAAATTTAATCCCAGACTGTCAGTAATTGTTAATTGTAAAAAAAGTCCATCTATCAGAAAAATACTGAAAATGAAAATATATTTTCAAAAGTGTGCTTCAGACATTATCTCTTAATTATCAAAAAGTTTCATAAAATTGTATGAAGGTTTGACAAAGTATTTGATGTGTAACAAACTTTTACATTGTTGTCCATTCGTTTGATGTGTTTGTGGTTTTGATTTTGCCATTTGATTAGGGACTTTCTGTTTTGGATTTTCCTCGGAGTTCAGTATTTTTGTGATTTAACTTTTTACCCCAGACTGTATCTATTTGTTAAATGTAAAAAAACAACTAAGTCCATTTATCAGTAAAATACGGCAAAATGAAAATAATATTTTCAAAATTTTGCTCTGGATACAGTATTTTGGTCATAAACAAGCTTCTGTCCAAATTTCATCAAATTCCATGAAATTTTGACAAAGTTATTGATGACTGAAAAACTTTAACCTTAGACTGAATTTGAATGTTAACTGTAAAAAAATTAAGTCCATTTTCCAGTAAAATACACAAAAATGAAAATTAACATTTTCAAAAGTTTGCTCTGGATACTGTATTTTGGTCATAAACAAGCTTCTTTCAAAATTTCATCTAAATCCAGGTTTTGTAGGTTTGACAGTTATTCATATCCAAAAAAACTTTAACCACAGACTGAACTTAAATGTTGACGCCGCGGACGGAATCTAGGATGAATTTGTCTCGCTTTCACAAAATTAATTTCCCAGGCTCGACAAAAAAGGCAAAATGCCAATAAAATTCAATAGGAACTACATGTAATATACTTTAATTATTTGTATTCTGAAAATTCAAAAGCTAATCATTTACTTTGTATTGCCATACTGAAAAAAAATTAAATGCGAAATAGTGTTTATAAGACTTTTATGGTGAACATGGTGCATAATCAAGGTAAAGCTGTAAACTGAAAAAAATTCCTTGCATGCTTTTGAGAAAAGTAGAATATTGGAATTGGATTGACTAACTTTGTTTTGGCTGAAATTAATTGAATATGGAATACAAATACTGGTTATAAAAGGTTATATCTGTGTAACCAACAAAAAATATTTATATATCGTTCAAATCAACATATGCATCAATATGCATAACTTTGCGGGGGCATGGTTTCTTTCAAATAAATCCTTTGATTCTAAATTTCTTAAGAAAAAAATGTTTAAAAAAGAAAATGAAAAAATCCTTTGTTTTGAAAAAAATTAGTAAAAAATTAAAACAACTTTTGTCTTAAACTTGATTTTCTTATTTCTGTAATTCACTTTAAAAAAAATTATTTATTAAAGTTGATAAAATAGTTTCTCCAAAAAAAAATAATCCCATGTCCCAACAAAAGATAAATGGTCAATTCCTTAATGGAATCATCAAGCAGATGACAGAATGTCAAATTTATTTGAAAATCATTTAAATATATTAAAATTTACAGTTTAAAATTTTTGTAAAATATTTTAAATATACCCGGCTTTGGCTATACTTTTTGTCCTTTTCGCTGTTTTCGGTCTATAAGCTCTTTGTCCTTAAATAAGTTTTGGATTTTCAAATATTTTGGCCCGAGGCATCACTGATGAGACATTTATTGTCAAAATGTGAATCTAGTGCAGTAAAATTGGTACCATTTATTTCAATATAGAATAGAACTGATTCGTATATACTGGTGAAGATAAGTATTTCTGTTCTTTATACAAGTACAATTAAATAATTTTCTGAGATATATCACAAGAGATTTGTAACTTGCTTCAACGAAGATTGTAAAATAAATTTGCAATATTAATAAATATAATCAATACGGCATTGCAATAACAAGACTATGAACTGCTATCTCTTCTTTTGATCTTTGATCTTTATTATTTGTTATTTTTGTATATTAATATAATAAATTAAACTGAATCAATTTTTAAGTGCACCCACCATCCCGTAAAATGTTAGGTTCTATGCATCATGTAACTGGCGATTTGATTTAGACTTTTATACAATAATATGACTGGAAAGTTTACTGTGCATTTGTTCTATTTGTTTATTCCTTCTGACGACCATCATTATGCATAACTAATGTTAGTAAAATATTATCAGACAGGCTAGCATTAGACAGCTTGCAATAAGAAAACATAAAATTCAACTGCAACATTTAAATTTTATTAATCAATTTTTTTTTGGGGGGGGGGGGGGGGGGGGGGGAAACTGGGGTTGGGGATTGCGGTATAATAGTAAGCGAATAATCCAACTTATCTCGTTTATTAAATGAAATATAAAATCATACAAATTTTGTTTTAAATGGCTGGTATATGTGAAACATCCTTACTGGTCTTTTAGATATTAATGAAAATACCTATATTCAAATAAATGTATAACAACATTAAGAAACATCTTATTGAAAATTGATCATAAAAAAGGCAAAAGGATGTTTTAATATACCGACAAGACAATATATGGAAGAACCTGGTAAATACTGATATATGTAAGATTTGTTGTTTATATGGACACACATGTTTATCAAAGTCATTTGAAAATATTCTATTTCGCAAATATCTTTTAAAAGGGCTTTTGCATGAAGCCACTTTAACTTTGTTGTCATGATATGACCCCCTGAAACATTTTCTTTTCAGTTTGTCTCAACTACTATGTTGACATGGATACCAAAATAGATGAAATAGAACACATTTCTACAAAAACATAGGCAACATAAATATCGCCTTTATGTCATATCGGGTTATGTATGTAACAACATCTATATACCTGGTTGGCTTTTGGAAGGCACTCTAAAATGCTCAGCATTAATTTGGCACTTCCATCTGGGTCACTTGGCAACCGGACGCTGAGAGCATCAAGTAACATCTGATATAAAGCGTTAGTGAAAAGTGGTTCAGGCAATTCACGGAGGTAGTCTTTCAAAACACCTGTAAAACAAATAATCAGATTAGTAAAACCGATTATAAAAATTTGCTGCAAAAAAAGATGAGTACCAATGAAAAGGCATGTCTTCCAACAATCTGACTTTAACACAATTGGTTAAATACCAAAATATAATTGATTAAGACGGAATTTTATAGTTATTTTTTACCACAACTTTTTACAGATAAGGAACTGTAAATGACATCATTAAAAGTTAAAAATCAAAGCACTGTTAACATGACCAACATTACAACTCCTTATTTTGTTTAAACTACCTTATTTATATCTGAGGAACAAAAAAAGTACATGCTATGTTTACCCTGATGAAGACAGTTAATTCAACTGTTACTCAGTGCTCGACTATGAATTTAACTTTTTAGAATGTTCCAAAATTATCGCACAATCACTATATTCAAGTATCCTCACATAATCACTATACATATGTACATGTAAATCAATTGGTCTTAAAATGTACGTTTGGATATTGAATCTATACATATGTACATGTAAATCAATTGGTCTTAAAATGTACGTTTGGATATTGAATCTACTAAATTAAGCTTTCTCCTTTCTTTTGTTGGTTTAAGTATTGGAACATGTATACAATGTAGCATGTGTCGGGTGTTTTTTTGTCTTTTTAACTGTAATTCATAAATATTCTAAAATTATAAAACTTACCTGTAACCACATGTATGTCTGATACATTTTCTGGAGAAAGATCAACAGCTTGAGCATTCTTCTCAAAAGCTTCTCTTAATTGGGCTTTTCTTCTAGCTGAAGCACACAGCCTGTATATCCCCACTACATCAAGTCCACGTTTCTCCACTTCTTCAATGCACTTTCTAATTACCATAGGTACATTCTGACCCTCTTGTTTGGTCACAGTTTCTAAATCTTTCCCAAATACACCATTTTTCCGCATAGATGGTAGTCGCTGCAAGGAAACTGATGGTTCATGATATAATAAGGTGGTATATAACAAGCCCTTTGGTTCCATTTTTAATGCTATGCATTTTTTCTTTCCATTTTCGAGTATTGATGGAAGTAAAACGGTGCCATGAAAGCAAAGTCTGTGTTTAAAATTAGGATCCCAATTGTAAATAAGAAATGACACTTCTTTAGAATCTTCAAGTTCAACATCGAAAGCCTCATCCCAATCGAAATTTACAGCACCAGTTCTGATCATTGTTCGTGCTTTATTCACAGAATCTATAGATACAACACAATATAAATCCCTTAGAGTCATTTTTGTTGATTTTAGCCCTTGTCCTGAGAGAATATGAATACTAAGAATTCCATCTTGACCCGTTTTCTTCGACAATTCTAATCGCCTCCTTAAATCTGGACGATAAAATTCGAACTCACTGTAAGGTATTTGTAATGGCTTCCTAGAAAGTTGAAGATCTTTGAATCTTGACGTTGAGCGAGATATATGTTGACCATCAGTGTCTATAAACTTGGTCCTATCTGAAGTAGATGAGGTAGATGCTGATAAAGGAATCCCTACCCTTGACATTGTATGGATTGAAGGGGGGACATACTTTGATTCTTGATATGAAGTTGAAAGCTCTTGTTTTCCCATATCGGAATGATATGTTCTACTCCGTTGAGCTGAATCTGCACTTCTATTACGGGTCATTTTCATTTGTCCCGGAGTTTGTGTTGATGCTGCCTTTTGAATAGATATTGGGGATGATGGCTTCCCTCCTAAAATTCTTGAAGATCCTATGTAAGCATATTCATCTGATGAATAATCCACGTTCCTTGGAGATGGTGCTGTAAATCCTGAAAAGAAAATTACAATTCTTGAAAAATTATGTCCAAGCCTTGTATTATAATTCACAAATTATACGTGTACATTGCACATTTCTATAATTAGCTAGAAGATCCTATTTGGCTTCTTTGTTAATTAATAAATGCAAAAAGACTACGTATACACTACTGCAAATTTTGAATAAACATATATATATACATGATATATAAAATGACTGAATAATAGCCAACGATAAATCTTACGGGGCGATGGATCATATAAATATGATACAGTACACTACAAAATATAATATATAACCAGTCTAAAAGGGTACAACATCACCAAAAAATGACAATAAACGAACAAATGATATATATATATATATAAGTCGATTGAATGGTGGATTTGTGTCCAAAGAGGGATTTATCCATGTATTTGTCGGTGCATTTACACAAGATGATAAAGTTTCCAATCTCAATATTGTACAAACATGTAAAACACATAAAAGACACCAGATTAGAATTTAGTTCGACATATACATGTTTCGTCTATACAAGACTAATCAGTGTTATATCCCTCGAACCGAAGCAGTTGGAACACGAAATCAATTACGACCATTGAAAACTCGAAACTCCCCAAAAAGTTGTTCAAAATGAAAATCTGAGTAAAACCATCTAATTAGATGCGGATCCAGGATTTTGAAAAAGGGGGCCGGTGCCCCCAAAGAAGGGAACGTTCGGAGTTGGACATGTAAAGAGTCTATGCATTAACCATATATGTAGCTCCATATAAAAGGCCTGCTAATGATATATGTCTGGGATACAAAAAACCTTTGTGTTTTAAACGATTTTAACAGAAAGTTACCGCATCAATATGATGAATGATATTTCATGTCGATAGCCTTGGGGACGAAACGTCCAACAATGACCGACTCAGATACTTTCATCTAAACTGCATGAGAATAAAAATACGAAAATAAAAATTAACTAGGAAGTTTGGATGTATAAATATCAATGACCTTAACGGTTTTACTCCAATTTTGTATATTTGTTTATTTTTTTTTTTCGCTGTTAGCGTATCAAGGTAAAACGGTATTCAAACGCAGGGAATTCTGTACTATTCAAAGTTATCATTTAAATATAAATACATGTATAATCAGTAAGCTACTGGAGGCGGAATTTAACCGAGGAAGTCAGGTACTATTGATCAATAGGTACTACTATTTATGAAGAATACGTAGATGCCCAGTTTCAATCACCTATGAACCGTAATGAATCATGCTGGTTATAGTGGAGTACCCATGATGATCCGTGATCAAGTCCAGTGATTCTTTCCACGTCGGTTCCATTTAGGGTTGTAAACAGTTTATGATATATTGTGGCATGCAAATGATATGCCTTATAGATCTAAATCACCCGTATTTGTCACTCATTAATGATGATAAAAATATATCAAGGAGTCGCACCAGTATAAATGGATTTTTATTTTATTTTGAAGTCTTAATTTGTGACAAGTCTAGGTCTACGACTAACATTCTTCATCGGATTACCCGAATACACCCCGAACCACCAGATCAAGTATTTTTAATGTGTGAAGGCCGATCCGCGAGTGCAACGATTTCATCGAAGCATAGGTCAAACACCCCCGAGGAAAGTAGAACATTTTGCTACTACAAATATACAGATCTAACATTGCTCGACTAAATATTAAGAAAGGTATATATAATGTTTGGTATTACTGTTGTATAACTCTAGATATGCTTGGAGAATGTCAGTCGTAGAAATGTAATATAATTCGCTATAGATCTATCATTGCACAAATCAATATGTGTAAAAAATGTTTGAACAAATGGATGCTACAGTCACGTATATTTACATACAGTTGAAACCTGATCAATGACGGTCTAATAGATTTGGGTTGTTTGTTCATGAATTGTGAAAAAAGTGGAAATAAAAAAACTAGTGAATTTAAAGGATCGTTTGTATATCATGGTGTTGCTCCAGAAGTGCAGTTTGCGGGCATGGAGTTACTAAGGAACGAGAAGCCGTCATGGACAAAAGAACAGAGAACAATGCTGACCAATGAGATTAAAAACCATAAAGAAGTTCAGACCTGAACCCTAATCGAGACCATGAGAAGTATAACCATGGGGGCACTTGACTTCATCAGAGGCAGGATTAGAGAGAAGGGAGACCATTTCCCTTACTAGATTTATAGGGACCATAACCAGTTTTGTTTTTGTTTTACTTTTCTAGATGTTATCTTTTTGTTTCTTTATTCTTATTGTTGTCATTATAGAATCAAGGAATTGTATAGAAAAGAGAGGCGAAAGATATCAAAGGGACATTCAAACTTATAAGTTTAAAATTAACTGACAACGTCATGGCAAAAAAACTGACAACGTCATGGCAAAAAAAAAACGAAAAAGACTAAACACAATACACAACATAGAAAAAAAAGACTGAACAACACGAACCGAAAAGGTATATATTTAATATATATTCAAGTTTTTAGTTTTTATGACTAGTGATTTGAGAAAAAGAAAAAAAGATCGTTGTATTCTTTACAATACCAATGTATCGACTATTTAGGATAAGTAAATATGCAGACATCAAGATCTCTAAAGAGTATGCATGCAAATGCGTTACGAAAGTACTAATGAGGCAACTAAAAATGAATATGCTATTATAAAATTCGTAAGGGTTCCGCGGAACCCAGTGTCTCGCCTACTTTTTCTGTTAATTGCAGGCTCAACAAAAATGACAAAGTAAATCAATAAAAATATTCCACTTGATACTATCTTTTGATTGTAAGAAGCTTCTGTCCAAGTTTGGTAAAAATCAAGATTAGTTTACGAATCTAATAAATCTTTAAAAACTTTAACTGCAGACTGAATGTAATGTTAACTGGAAGAAAACAAAATTTCCTTCTAGATACTAGCTTTTGATCATAAACAAGCTTCTGTCCAAGTTTGGTACAAATCCAAAATAGTATAAGAAAGTTATTAAAATTTTAACAACTTTAACCACAGAGTGAATGTGTTGTTTCCTGGCAGAAAATTTAAGTCCATTTAAAAGTAAAATACGGAAAAAATGGATTTATTTTTTTACAAAATTTCCTTCTAGATACTAGCTTTTGATCATAAACAAGCTTCTGTCCAAGTTTGGTACAAATCCAAAATAGTATAAGAAAGTTATTAAAATTTTAACAATTTTAACCACAGAGTGAATGTGTTGTTTCCTGGCAGAAAATCTAAGTCCATTTAAAAGTAAAATACGGAAAAAATGGATTTATTTTTTTACAAAATTTCCTTCTAGATACTAGCTTTTGATCATAAACAAGCTACTGTCCAAGTTTGTTACAAATCCAAAATAGTATAAGAAAGTTATTAAAATTTTAAAAACTTTAACCACAGAGTGAATGTGTTGTTTCCTGGCAGAAAATCTAAGTCCATTTAAAAGTAAAATAAGGAAAAAATTGATTTATTTTTTTACAAAATTTACTTCTGGATACTATCTTATGATCATAAACAAGCTTCTTTCCAAGTTCGGTAGAAATCCAGGATAGTTTAAGAAAGTTATTAAAATTTTAAAAACTTTAACCACAGAGTGAATGTAATATTTCCCGGCAGAAAAACTAAGTCCATTTATAAGTAAAATACGGAAAAAATGGAATTTTATTTTTACAAAATATACTTCTGGATACTACCTTGTGATCATAAACAAGCTTCTGTCCAAGTTTGGTAGAAATCCAGGATAGTCTAAGAAAGTTATTAAAATTTCAAAAACTTTAACCACAGAGTGAATATTTGTGGACGCCGCCGACGACTACGACGACGACGACGACGACGACGACGCCGACGGAATGTAGGATCGCTATGTCTCGCTTTTTCGACTAAAGTCGAAGGCTCGACAAAAACCATTAGTCTGGACAAACTCTGTGAACCTGTTTACCTATGACGCATCTGTTGACTGTTACATACATGTAATAGCGTCCAATATTACGGGAATATTATGGGTGATTTTTTTATTCAAGAGGAAAAAACAAAGAAAATTGATTGACAAAAAAATTAAATTTCATAATTTCAGACCAGAGTTTTAAATCAATGACGTCCATGACGTCGGCGTGAATAAAGACATTGACTGAAGAATCGTTTAAGCAAGAGTCCTTTTGGAGTAATATTTCCACAATAAATATAGATGCAATGATTGGAAAAAAAAACATTTTCAAAATTTGAGACTTTTGTCCAACACAATGCATTCAATATTGTTTGAAAGCATATCGAGGTATAGAGTTGAAACGTGTGATTTTGTAAACCTTAATTATGTTTACACAGGTGTATTATTATTCAAAACTTTAAGACAGGTTGAAAGAATTAGTCACACTTTGTTAAAAAAAATCCAACGTATTAACAAATGTCTTGCTTTACAAAAGAATTATCATATCTAACAAAATATCTCCTTTTCACAAAAAAATCTGTTGATTTAAACAACTTGACTTGAATGTTCATTGACAACTGATTACATTTCTTTCCCTGAGGGGTTCACGCATATTTGTCATTTTGCAGCCTTATATAGCTTACTATAGGGTATGTGTTTGCTCATTTTTGAAAGCCGTACTGTGACATATAGCTAACTTCATTTCTACGTCATTTGGTCTCTGGTGGAGAGTTGTCTCATTGGCAATCATAACACATCTTCCCCTCTTTTTATATATAAAAAACATACTTAATCTTATAAAAAATGCAAATTAACCCTGGAAATTGAGACAAAATTTTCAAAGCACCTTTTAGGTGTGTTAAATGCAGAAAATATCGAAACAGTCCATAAATGATCATGCGTTTAAGTCCTTAGAATAATTCTATTAATATGAACGATTTTCAAACACACTGAGTGATATTCTTTGTGGTATTTGACCCCCACCCAACACATACACTACATATCAGACTAAAAGTTAAAGTAGCATGTCCAACCTAAAGAAGAATCAGTGCAAGTTTCTGAGATTTCCGTCAATTTGTTTTCAAAGAGTTGAG